ACATCTCATTCAAACATGTTGACAGTACCAAAATCAATCAAAAAATTGCATACAATTACGCTTCATAGATTCATATAGATTTCTCGCTTTTAGTTTAGATTGGCATCTTTTCTGAACAATGATAAGCTGCGGGTACTGCGACGCGAATTTTCCGATTTATCGGAAGAAGATTTTAATCTTTTGACGCGAAAGGGCGTCTTTCCGTATGAGTACATTGACTGCAGTGAAAAATTGAACGAATTGTGCTTGCTGCCTTGCGAGTCATTCTACAGTTCATTGACGGACAACACGGTATCTGAGGCTGTGTTCCAAAATGAATTGCCAGCGCTGACAGCACTATCAACACCGTTCCAAAATTCATCGTAGCACGCTGTGGCAGTGCTACGAGAAAGTATGACGTCATTAATTTTGTCGTCACTTTCTGCTGCGGCTGCTGCGACTGAAGAGGTGAGACAGCTACAGCATCTAAGATGGCGAGCACCACAGAGGAATTATTACTAATTGATGCGGAAAATAATAGAGAATTAAAAATAATAGTTTCACCTGAGGACGCTGAGAAAGCAAGAAATGATAAACATATTTATAAATCTTAGATGTGGACAAAATACATAACCTCTATATATTAATTTATTATTGTTAACCTCTATACATTATTTTATTAAAGTACATAACCTCTACAAATTAATTTATTATTGTTAACAATTAAACGAAGTAAACGTGGTTTACATAAAAAAAACAAATTTTTGTCTGAAAGGCATTAACCACGAACACCAGATAACAATGCAGGCGACTATTATAAATCTTTTATTATAAATACAAAGAATTGATAAACGTTTCGGTCCCAATCAAACCATCTCCAGTATTCAAAATTATAATATAGATTAATTAGCGCATTCCTATCCTACGTAACATGTAAACAATTTGTCTACGTGGTCGTTATTACTTATGTCATATGTAAGAATTTTATGACATAAGCAATAATGACCACAGACAAATCGTTTATATGTTACGTAGGATAGAAATGCGCTAATTAATCTATATTATAATTTTGAATACTGAAGATGGTCCAATTGAGACCGAAACATTTATCAATTCTTTGCATTTAATAAAAGATTTATAATAGTCGCTACTGTTATCTGGTGTTCGTGGTTAATGCCTTTCAGACAAATATTTATTGTTATTATTGTTAACCTCTATATATTATTTTATTAATGTACATAACTTCTACATTTTAATTTATTATTATACGTATGTAGTATTATATTATTTTTACATTACATTATTCTTAAATTAAGAGAAATAATCCTGTTTTCGAAGCAACTCTTGATGCTTGAATATTTCAGTGTGAATTTATTAATACATATCCAATTCTATAAACTGCACGCCTTAATCTTTTCCAGTCTTGAACGCAATTATGAACAGAACTAGTAGTAATATTACATATTAAATTGACAAGCAATTTAATAATAATATTTAATAATGTCTAAGATCTGCTTCGACCAAAAATAAAGTTATTTTTCTATTGATTTATTCTCTAATAAAAATTAAAATTATATTATTCTTATTATATTATTATTTACAGATCATATATTTGCGTACTCCTTATTACAACAAGCAATAAAAGACACAAATAAAAACAAGAAGCATATACAAACTGAAACAGGTGAAAATTTACTTTAAGACTTAATTTTTTGATTTGAATAATTATCTATTTGTGTGTGTGTGATATATGTATAATATATATTTTCAAAAATTACAAATCTTAAAGACAAATGCTTATGACTTTAATATTAAGAAATTAATATTGTTAATATTATTAAAATAAATAATCTCTTAGGTATAAATATAAATAACACAGATGCATTTTCGAGCTGTAGTACTACAAACTGTGATACTGCGAGCTGTAGTACTACAAACTGTGATACTGCGAGCTGTAGTACTACAAACTGTGATACTGCGAGCTGTAGTACTGATTTAACTACAGATACGAAAGGTAAGCTAAAGCAAACAAATTTGATGAAAAAAAATACTAACATAGCTATTTTACTTATCTAGATCTACATATATGGAATCGTGCTGAAACTTTGCTACTTATTAATCTATATAAAGAACACGTAGCGATGTTTGACAATCTGAAAGTTTCTTCAAAACAGTGTTGGAGTACTCTGTCGAAAAAAATGAAAGAAGCAGAATATCAGATATCTGATACAAAATGTGCAACGAAATTCCAATCTTTAAAAAGGAGTTATAAATCTGTTACTGTGTGTGCGTGTGCGTGTGTGTGTGTGTGTGTGTGTGTGCGCGCGCGCGCGTGTGTGTGTGTGTGTGTGCGCGTGTGCGTGTGCGTGTGCGTGTGCGTGTGCGTGTGTGATCATAATAAAAAATCAGGAAACAACAGAAAAAAATGGGAATATTGTGAAGTATGATATTATAATTTTACATAAAAGTATATATGATATTAAAATTGTATATAATAAATATATTAGAATTACATAAAAGCATTGCAATTTATGCAATTTAATTATTATTGAGGCTTAATGTATAGACATATTATTTTATATAATGATAAATCACAATTAGTCAAAAAGTTACAATATATATAAAGTTACATTATATATATATATATATATTGTAATTTTGACTATATGTTGACTATATTTTGACTATAATGATTTGACATTATATAAAATAATATATCTATACATTAAACCTCGATAATAATTAAATAGCATAAATTGCAATGCATATATATATATATATATACACCTTCCTTTTTAAGTTGATTGGAATCTATAAAGAAAGTTACATAAAGTATTTATACTTACAAGTAACACTACCCAAGTGCCACTCCGGGATTGACTTCTACCTATGCAGATTTTGTAAAGAATCGAAAAATATTTGATACGTATTTTTTTATTTCGGCAGACATGATGTTTTAAGGGCTGAAAATAGGGGTTGAAATATTAAATTTTTTAATAAACGGGTGTATTTCCGAATAATGCTGTTATGCGATCTAGCTGTAATTTGATATATTTATGTATTTTGATGTGCTTATTACGAATATGATAAAAAAAATTGTCGCCAAGGTCATTTTCAAGGTCAAAATTCTTATCAAAAATTTGTCATCAAATTTCTAATATCTTATTCTCAAGTCAGTAAAACTGTCTCCGCACGTGTATGAATTGCTACTGTATTTCACTTGTTTTTTTTCTCCGTGTACATTAAAATTAATATATTAGAGTTGAAAACAAGTGACTGACTTGAGAATAACATATTAGAAATTGCTCTTCTGGCAAGAATTTAATCAAAATTTGATGACCAATTTTTGGGCGATTTTTTTGAGTTTTGACCTTGAAAATGACCTTGGCGACAATTTTTTTTATCATATTCGTAATAAGCACATCAAAATACATAAATATATCAAATTACAGCTAGATCGCATAACAGCATTATTCGGAAATACACCCGTTTATTAAAAAATTTAATATTTCAACCCCTATTTTCAGCCCTTAAAACATCATGTCTGCCGAAATAAAAAAATACGTATCAAATATTTTTCGATTCTTTACAAAATCTGCATAGGTAGAAGTCAATCCCGGAGTGGCACTTGGGTAGTGTTACTTGTTAGTAAATTTTTTTTTTTAGAAATATTTTGTAGTATGTATACAATTGTCATTTACTATTGCTAATTATTTATCTAATAACTTTCTTTAATTGCAGTATCAAGAAAACGGAAAATAAATAGCATATTAGAAGACTATTTAGAGAAGTCTTTAGAAATTAAAAAAGAAAAGGAAAACAATGCTCAAAAGAGGCATGCAGAAAAAATGGCACGACTTGACAAAATGGAAGCAATAATGACAGAAATGTTTAAAAAATAAATTTTAGAACGAGTTTAACATAAGATAAAAGTTTATTTCTATCAATGTAGATGTACATTAATTTCAATCTCTGGTTAATTTATTTTTTATATTTTTTATATTTATGTTTATTTTTTTATTATTATCTTTAATTTGATTTTATAAATATTGTCTTGGTTATTTTTTTATGGTTATTATATTTATGGTTATTATCTTGATTTTTTAATTTTTAAGAACAGAATAAGAGATAAAAAATTGATAGAAATTAATATAAGAAAAACAATTAAGATAAGACTTGTTTTTTATCCAAAGAAACATTGTGAATAACATTGTGATACGGTTTAATAAGTTTAATAAAGGTAATAAAATTAATATAGTTTTTCTGTAATTATAAATAAAATGCAAATTTATTAAAAGATTACTGTATTATAATACAAGTTTGTTATAAATAAAATTACTTATGAATACACCTTTTTAACAATTGAGTTAAGAATTGTGTTAAAAAAGGAGTCGGACGCAGAAATTGATACGCAAAGTAAAAAATAATTTTTACATATGTGTACACACACACACTTATACATAATTATAACGTAATAATAACTTATAACTATTATAATAACTAATAACTATCATAATAACTATCTTATAACAAAGAATTGAAAAGAATAAGGGCACTAGGAGTCAGGCGCAGAAGACGTCGCGCAAATAATACACTTATAAAGAGTGAAAGTCCTTTATTCACTAAACGCGCTTACATGTTTCGGCTCATTTTTGAGCCTTCCTTAGAGCAAACACAAACTAACATATATAAAGTAAAAGTTATCCTGTCATGGTGAGCTCCCCTACAGGATAACTTTTACTTTATATATGTTACTCTTTTCAATTCTTTAATTTGTGAGGAGTCTTGATTGATTTGATTTGTTAATGGATTTATCTTATAATAGTTATAACTATCATAATTATAACTTATAGCTTTATTAAAAATTCCCGTTCTGTAAATAATGCACAATTCCATTTCGTTTTTCGATTCCTTCCTCTCGTAAAGCTTGAGGTATTGCATTATTTTCAAAATTTCTTTCGAGTTCATTCAGTTGCACAATAATCGGCACGTCAATGAAATCATTACGTATCAAGCAAATATTATGCAAAATGCAGCAAGCAACAATATATTTCGGTATCAGATCTGTTCTTCTCAGGTAATATATCTAGAAGACTCCGAAATCTTGCTTTCAATAAACCTATTGTTCTTTCTATCATCATTCTAACTTGAGACAAACAAGTATTATACGCAATTTGTGCATTTGTTAAATGTCCATTGTTTTTAAATGGAACCATTACATATTTGTGAATACTATATGCGGCATCACCTAATATGTGACTATTTTCTGGAAAATTTTGTGAAGTTTTCGAAACCTGACAGTCGAAATACTCTCATATCATGTACTGATCCTGCATAAACATACATAATCTTCAACTCATGATCACATATCAACTGAAAATGAAAAATAATTATTACTTTATTTTTAAGTCAACAACCAGTCACAGAGACCATTGCCTTGAGTTTTTCAATTAAACGATCAATATGAATGATTGTCTTAAATTGCAATGTAGTCAAACAAGTCCCACCCCACTCAATATATTTAAAATATTAACAGTTTAAAAAATACCTGTACTTGTATAGAATGATAACCTTTTCTATTTATGTAGGCATCAGCATGTAATTTTGGTGCTGGAATTTTGACATGGGTACCATCTATTGCTCCTATTACTTTGGGAAATTTGTATTTGTTTTTAATATATGTTGAAATTTCTTCAGCTCTTTCTGCATCTGGCCATTTGATAAAAACGTGAAGATGTGAATAGAGTGCATTAACAACTTTCTGAACACTTCTCCAAGCTGTTCTTTTACCCACCCCAAATCGGTCAGCAACACACCTTCATAGTTAGAAAAATAAATGTGTGAAATGAATATTAACAAATAGAAAATAAAGACCTTAAACAGTCAAATTGCATCTTCATTATAGTATTAAATTGCTGGTCAACTTAATTTGTAATATTACTGTAGTTGTGTAAGGATTGTGTTTCAAGACTAAAAATTAAATTCGGTACGCTCAATCATTCAATCCAGCTCATTTAGAATCTTTATTTTCCATATTGTTGTATAGTCACATTACGGTCGTAAAAAATTCTGTGTTTAATATTGTTAAATGTTAACATTTCTTATTCCTCTTAGCCAAAAATGATTTATCAATTGATGTCAATCGAATATCTATCGACGTTGAATCAACATCGATTCAACGCTGAGCAATGTTGAAACAGCATCGATTCGACATTGATCAATCATTTTTTCTGGGACTACTTAAATCCTACTTTAACCAATAAAACTCACCTGTATGAATTAGGAGTTGCCATCATCCATATTGCCAACAATAAGGTTTTCTCGGATGATATAGTATATCTACCACATCCCTCAGACTGTTTTGATAATTGTGGACTTAATAGTTCTAATAAAAATATAAATGTTTGTCGACTGAGGCTATAAAAAGAAACATTAAAACATATTTTTTCTGTGTTTAAATTGTATGTACATTTAAATATGTTCAATATTTTTCAACATTTATGCAAGATCAACTCATGAGTTGTATATATGCAAGTTCCATTATTTAGTTTATTATATATAATAAGAATTTAATCATTAATAATTATAGAAGTAAATAGATAAATAATCGCTATTCTACAAATAACTTACCGAAAATGACTTTTAAAATCAGTGTCAGTATACTCCCAAATTACATTTTCGATGTAATTCTGGCAATGTACTTTGGGTATTCGTTCATAGTAATTATTTATTACATTTACTATTTCTGCCGAATCTGATTCATCGCTAGATTCCTCATCAGATTCTTCAAGCGTTACTCTTAAATACATTACAAATAAAATCTTTTGTTGCTCGTGTCTATCCATTTCAAGGTTAATGTTTCACATTCAGTGACAACACTCTTCCGTACGACCGATAGTGCTGAAAATATCGTTCCAATTTGAAATGCGTATTCGCACTAATAGCATGCTTGCTAAAATTGGAACGCTGTTGGTAGCATGTTTTTATGACGACATACCTGCAGCGCTGACAATCAATTTTGGAACACAGCCTGAGAGTCATTACGCGCATTCCGTCAACGTGTGGCGGCGGTTCTCCATCCAAACGCTCGGTGAATATAGCGATCTGTATCTAAAAACGGATGTATTGTTGTTGGCCGACGTCTTTGAAAATTTCCGCGACAGTTGCGGGCTCGACCCCGCGTACTATTACATCTTACCGGGCTTCACATGGGATGTCATGTTGAAGCATACAGGTGTAAAATTTGAACTGCTCACAGATATTGACATGATCATGTTTGTCGAGCGCGGAATACGCAGTGGTCTGAGTCAGTGCTCAAATAGGTACGCGCGAGCCAACAACAAATACATGCCGTAGTACGATCCATCGAAACCGTCATCGTACTTGATGTACTACGACGTCAACAACTCTACGGCTGGGCAATGTGTCAACCACTGCCTTACGCCGATTTTCGATGGATCGATGACGTGCACAATTTCAACTTTACGACCATCGCGTTAGATTCACCGACAGGCTATATTCTCGAGGTGGACTTGGAGTACCCTCAACATCTCCACGACGCGCACACTGACCTACCGCTCTGTCCGACGTGCGAGAAACCACCCGGCAAGCGCGAAGACAAGCTCCTCGCAACATTATGCAATAAACAACGTTACGTCATCCACTATCGCAACCTGCAGCAGTGTACTCGTTACGGTCTCCGTTATCGCAAAGGTTCACCGTATACTACAATTCGCGCAAGCTCCATGGCTTCGCGATTATATAGAATTAAACACCAAATTTAGAACATTGGCGAAGAATGATTTTGAGAAAAATTTATATAAACTGATGAATAACGCGGTATTTGGCAAAATCATGGAGAATGTGCGCGATCGCGTCGACGTAAAACTATTAACAAAATGGAAAGGTAGATACGGTGCGGAGGTAATGATCGCTAAACCAAACTTCCACAGTCGTAGCGTCTTTTCGGAGAATCTGGTCGCGATAGAACTGCGTAAGCTCGAGGTGAAGTTCGACAAACCGATATACGTGGGTATGTGCATCCTCGATATATCTAAAACGTGTTTGTACGAATTTCACCATGAGTACATGGCACCGCTGTTTCGCGATAAATGCAAAATTATAATATGTACGTATACCGATACTAACAGTCTCATATACCATATGGAATGTGATGACATTTACGATATCATGAAACGCGACATCAATAGATTTGACACTAGTGATTACTCTATCGATAACGCGTACGATATTCCGCTCGCTAATAAAAAAGTTCCAGGCCTAATGAAAGATGAGAACAACGGTGCCGTCATGACTGATTTCGTCGGGCTTAGAGCGAAAATATACGCTTTACGTGTGCAAGGAAGTGCAACAAACTAATCCAGTGACGTATCTATTGGAAGATTCTCGCGGAAAATCCATCGTTGGAGGATTCTACGAATATGAACTGCATCGCGTCGCTAATCCTGAGGTGCAAGGAAAGAAAGATACGAAAAAGGCAAATGGTATCAAGAGCAGCGTTGTGGCAAAATCCATAACGTTTGAGGATTACACACGACACTTGAACGACGCAATCGAAATGACGCGCAGACAGTCGTGCATTAGATCAAAATTGCATGAGGTGTACACGATATCGGAAACGAAAATTGCTCTTAGTCCGCACGATGATAAGCGGTATATCGTATCAGCTTCCACCAACACGCTGCCATGGGGACATTACCGGTGTAAATAAAACGCATTTCGCATATGTATTAAATGTGTAATATGTATTGTATAACATGTATACAATGTGTAATATGTATAATATGTATAATATGTATGAAATGTATAACATGTATAATATGTATAAAATGTACTATATAATATGATATGTATAATATGTATAATATGTATAATATGTATGAAATGTATAATATGTATGAAATGTATAATATGTATGAAATGTATAATATGTATAAAATGTATAATATGTATAAAATGTGTGGATATGTATTATAAAATATGTATACTATGTGTAATATTTAATATATTTATAATGAATATATGTAATACTTTAATGTATAATATAATGTATAATTTTATAATACATTGTCTTTATGAATCCATGAATTGTGCGAATTGTCAAATCCCAACCATTTCACGTAAACCTCGTTTCCCTTCTTACGCAACACTTTTTCAACGAGATATACATCAGGATTAGCGACGCGATGCAGTTCGTACTAGGTGTACAAATAAGTTTCCGGGTTTTTTTGATCAATGAAAAATGCAAAATTTCAAGAAAAAAACAAAAAACGGTTTATTCAAAGTATCGTCCCTCGCTAGCTATACATTTTCGCCATCTCTCTTGCAATGCATGAATACCGCGACGATAGAACGACTCGTTTTTGGTCCGAAACCATTTATCTATCCGATTTCGTACTTCTTCGAAACTGGCCAAGTGTAGTTCAGCCAAGTCATGCGCCATCGACCGGAACAAGTGATAATCAGAAGGAGCCAGATCTGGTGAATACGGCGGGTGTGGTAACAGATCCCATTTCAGCGTTTTGATGGTGTCCTTGATGATGGAAGTGCGATGGCACGGTGCATTGTCCTGCTGCAAAAGATATTCGTAGAATCCTCCAACGATGGATTTTCCACGAGAATCTTCCAATAGATACGTCACTGGATTAGTTTGTTGCACTTTGATGATTTTAAAGACCTCCGTAGTCCAATTCGGCGTGTATCCTTTCTCAAAGATCGTCTTGAATTTGCTCACGCGAACCGAATCACCCACTTTGAATCGCGCGGGTGCGGCAATCTTTACATGATTGTACACCGTGGTTAAGAGCCTGTCGGCCATTGCAGGGGTAACATCGATGGATCGCATACCGATAGTTCGATGCTTTCGCACGTTGTAATCTGATACGAGGCGTGGTAGCATGTCGATCCATCTATAGTTTCCATTGTGCGTAAATTGTTTCCACATATCATTCTTCAACGTACGAGTAAACCGCTCAACGACCGATGCCTTCATTACAGAATATGTAAAGTAATGAATGATATTGTATTATATTTCTTCAAGAGTTTCTGCACATTCGAGTTGTAAAATTCCTTTCCTCTGTCGGTCTGCAAATTTTTCGGACACCTTTCATCGTCTCGAATTATCTTTGCAATCGCTTTTGTCACCTCGTTCCCGCTCTTGGCTTTGAGTGGTACGGCCCACGCGTGCTTACTCAGCACATTGATAACGGTGAGAGTGTAGTGATAACCTCTGTTGCAGCGTGTATACGGACGCATCTCAACCATATCCGCCTGCCACTGGTCATCGTATCCGTGTACTATGACACGTCTTCTTGGAAAATTTCTTCTCGCTGCAGCGTGTAATTCATCAACCAGCGATCGTTTCTCAGTTATTGCGATTATTCACTTCTCGAATCGTCTTTTCAAATTCGTTTAGCATAACCTGCATATTATTTTGGAATGATGTCATCTTCCTCTCGATTTCGTCAAGTCGATCTTTCAAATCTTGAACACTCTGCTGCACATATCGTTTGTTTGCTGCATCAGCATCATTCACTGGTGGCGCTAAACATCGAATCTTGCGTGACTTTGCATCAAAGTCGGCTGCGACTACGCAAAGAGCGTTATCGCGTACGTAATTTCTGAGCGATCCGCTCCACTGATAGTACGATACGTTTCCTCCTCCGAGCGATAGTCCAAACTTGCTGATCGGCATTTCGACATCGACTGAATGACGCGTATCGCGCTAAATCAATTTATAACGAGACCAGCTTCTCGAAGTTCCTCGATAATCGACAGAATCTCGTTGTCGTGACCATTATGCCCCGCCTGGCGCGAAGCCTCAAGCAATCGGAGACGATCCACAAGTTCGTTGGGATCGTCCCAATGAATGTAGTCAATCTTATTATCATTTAGTGTCATGGTATATCGAATCTTTTGTTTATACTCGTTTCAACTTTTTTACCCAACACCAATGGCGCGATTATATTCTTATACAATACTTGTACCCCTTGTTACCTAGTACTTGACTATCCGCGCTATGACCGCGTCTATACGCATTTGTTGTCAACAGAATGATCTTGTAGGTGTGCATGTCATCATCCGTGCATATATTTTCATTAGGAAATTTCATGAAAATTAACTCATACAGACCCGGTGTTCCCTTGTATCTTTTCCCATTTATAATTATATCATCGTTTTTGTCCAAGGCGATACGTTTGTCGCCGAGCATCGTTCCCTCGTCGCTAAAATAAACTCCGTACACAACGTCAATGTTTACAGCTTTCTCACCGCTCAAGACTGCTTTCAGATATTTTTGTCCCAGCGGACC